ATCATTAGCGGCAATAAATATACACATAAGCAAAGAGTGATAAAGCTTTTACCGACATTAGTTAATTGTCATTGGATTTAGTGTCGCTATAGGCTTTAGGGATATTATAAAGAGTGCTAAATGATGCTAAAAATACATTTTTAGTGGCAATTAAGTTATTGCCATTAATTAATTGCCACTAAGGATCATTTTTGATATAGTGAGAGGGCATTACCAATTACTACTTCTCACCCGACGCTTGGAGGTGGCTGGCACTAGTCGGTAGGAGGGTTTGTCCATCGGCAATCTCATTGATGTGACTTAACCTTGAGCACTAGTGATGGCCTGCACTATTCAGGAATTCAGGTGAGCGCGAGGAAGTAGATAGTAGCTGAGTGAAAAGACTTCTACATAGGCAATACGAAGGCCCTGTTCTTCTTGGCCTGGGGAATTTTGTAGATGGGCAAGGATACCAATGGATGACACGGATTTTGATGTGGAGAATGACGATTCGTTCAACCCTCTATTGGTGAAAAACAAGCCCTCTAGAGTATCAAAGAAGATGAAGGTGGGCAAGGATAAGAGCAGGTGGGCCGCAGTTAGTTTACTTCATTGAGATACCGATTGGACTCAACCCATACCACAAGCGACAGATCGCACAAAAAAAGTGAAAGAGTTAGACAACTTCCTAGAAAATTCTTAATAGCCTTCTGAAGATTAAATGTGGACATCTACACACTACTCCTTAGGATTCTATTCGACATTTGCCGTTTTACTGGGAGATCGGTAACATGGGCTCTAAAACCAAATTATCACGATTCAATCCATCAGACTGTGTAGGCACCGATCTAATCTCAAGATACGAGAACTTTTACCACCCAATTTTAAGGCGGACATTGCGGAAATGAATAAAAATAAGAGAATTTCTTTAATAAATTTAACAACCATAACCTAGAGTACAAAATCATCATTTTACAACCAACCAAAAAGAAATCCTCTCAAGAAACTAGTCTAAACATATTCAAGAGTTACTAAGTAAGTGTAATAATATATACAGAGAAAATATGACATAACTCCCACCAAAAGAGTGATGAAGGATACTATTGATAAGTTCTATTACGTCTTGGTTTCTTGTATCCTAGTCTGTATAGGCTTTTGGTCTTGTTGTACCTAAGTCATCTAGGACTCTTGGTTATTCTCTATGTATATATATATATATGGAAAAAGGGTCTGATATACCCCTCAACTTTGTCATTTGGAGTTGATATACCCCTCGTTATGAAAGTGGTTCATATATACCCCTACTTATATACAAACGACTCACATATACCATTTTCCTCTAACGGAAATGAAAAATAATAATTTTAGTTTAATTTTTATTATATTTTTTTAAAAAAATATAATCCCATATGAGTATATTTAATCCTCCTCAAACTATTTTTTTTTACTTTTTTTATTTCAATGACTAATTTAGATTTATTATTTTGATGGTCAAATTTATTTATGTTTCTCTTGTAAAACTTATTATAGATGATCAAATTTTTTTCTTCAAATACAAAAAATTAAATTACAATATAGACAAAAAAAAACAGTTTTAAATTTTTTTCTTTACACTAAGGAATGAAAGAAAAAAATAAAATAAGAATAAGAAACTCAAATAGTTATAATCAAAGAAAGTCAAAAAATAATTTATGTATGAAAAAGATTAAAATATACCTTGAACTTTGCTAGAAGAATCATATATACCCCTCAATAATTTTTAAGAAAATTAAAAGTCAAAAATATAAATTTAAAACTAATTTTTTCACTTCCGTTAAATGAAGGGTATATATGAGCTCATTTTGTAACGGTAGGGGTATATGTGAGTCGTTTGTATAACAATAAGGGTATATATGAGCCATTTTGATAACAAGGCGCATATAAGCTTCAAATGACAAAGTTAAAGGGTATATCAGACCCTTTTCCCTATATATATATATCCTCGTGTACGCTGAACATTTATTATTGAAGAAAAGTTTCTTACATGGTATCGGAGCCCTAAGAGGTTACAACAACCCAAAAAAAAATAGAGAACTGACTCCAATGGCAAAGGACGATAATATTTCCACAGCCTCTGGCTCGCTAGGAACAGAGCTGATTGCAACAACACAAACCTCATTCCCTAATATACCTTTACCATCACCAAATCTTGCACACCAATTACCAGTTAAACTCACATCCTCAAATTTTTTATTGTGGAAGACGTAATTTCTTTCGATGGTTCGAGGATGCGGACTTGGTCATCATATCGATGGTAGTGCAGATTCCAGATCAGTTTTTGACTGGAGATCAACCTAATCCTGCATACCATGGGTGGATAAGACAAGATCAACGTGTGTTAAGTTGAATCGTTGCTTCAGTCTCCGAAGGTATTTTACCTCAATTGGTTGGTGCAGAAACGACTCGCAATGCGTGGAGCAAACTTGTGGCTGCCTATGCGTCTGGTTCAAAGCCACAGATTCGTGAGTTGAAAATATAATTACACATATTACGAAGAGATAATGCAAGTATCGAAACCTATGCGCAAAAGGCAAAGGGAATTGCAGACAAGTTGGCTGCATTGCAACATCCCGTTAATGATGATGATCTGGTTGAATTCATTATCGCTAGTTTGGGACCAATCTATCATCCCTTTACAAGATCACTTGAATCGCGTTTAGAGGATAATTAAAAAGAGATGAGGCTTTTAATGTCATAGCACCGACAACACAATTTACTCACAGCTCAGTTGCTCACAATCGTGGACGCGGTAAAGGTAGAGGTAATAGAGGTTGTGGTCTCTCTTCGAATCAAGTTTACTCCCAGATGGCTCATAATAGTGGTGATCAACACCATACTCCATACTCTAATATTCAGTCTTAAATCACAGATGCATCAACCATTATTTGTCACAATTGTGAAGGAAAAGGTCGTATCGCACTAGTATGCCCGTCACCTAGAACATGCAATAGAACTCAATCTTTTGGCAAACCCGTCTCTAACCTAGCAAACACGCAACCCTCGCCTACCCAAGATTTGTTGATGGATAGTGGCACCACACATCATACGACGACTGACCTTAATAATCTTGGCATTCACTCTGAATATCAAGGTCCGAAGGAGGTAACTCTAGGTAATGGCTCTAAATTACCAGTTTCTCATATAGGTAAAAGTTCCTTTATTTCTTCTGCCAAAAAGTTTAAACTTGAAGATATTGTTCATGTACCTACTACTACTCAAAATTTGGTATCCATAAATTCTTTCACCAAATCTAATAATGTCTCAGTTGAATTTTTTTCCGAACCATTTTTTGATTAAGGACTTGGCAACGAGGGCACTACTACACACAGGGTTGAGTAGCGGAGGGCTATATTTGTTACCAGTTACAAAGTTATAATCTCCGGCCTCCTTTGCAGCTTTTTTCAGTACATGTGCATCATATCCTACCGTTCGTCAAGCATTACCATCAATTGTTTTAAAGTCTAGTAAATCTTCTAGTGTATGCACTACTTGTGCAGTTAACAAAAGTCATAAGGTCCCTTTTAGTGAGTCTAGTTTTCAGGCCTCCGACCCTTTTGATTTAATTTGTTCAGATGTTTGGGGTCTTGCCCCAATTGTCTCTAATGATGGTTATCGTTATTATGTGATCTATTTCGATCACTTTAGTAAATATACTTGGATATATTTTCTTCTCTTTAAGTCTGATGTTCTCTATGTGTTTATTCAATTCCTTACCTTGGTTGAAAAATATTTTGGTTGTTCAATTAAATATTTTCAAGTTGACTGGGGTGGAGAGTTTCAAGCCTTGACAAGTTACTTACGTGATAATGGAATTACACAACGTTCTTCTTGTCCTTATACGCCTAAACAAAATGGTTGTGTTGAACGCAAACATAGACATATAGTCGAAACTAGTAAATCATTATTACATCATGCTAATGTTTCCTCTCATTTTTGGACTAATGCTTTTGAAACTGCAGTTTACACCATTAATAGATTACCTACGCCAATACTACAAAATTAATCTCTTTTTTTTATACTATTTCAAAATGATCCAGATTATTCTCTATTGCATGTGTTTGGTTGTCTTTGCTTTCCTTGGCTTCGTCCTTATACGAAGGACAAATTATCACATTGCTTTAAACCTTGTGTGTTCTTAGGATACAGTAAAATTCACAAAGGATATAAATGTTTTGATCCTACTTCCTCCAAATTTTTTGTATCTCGTCATGTTATGTTTTATGAATGTGTGTTTCCTTTTTCATCACGGGATGCTATGGTGCCCGAAACATCAACCAATGCCACCACCGATCCTTTCACGCTACACCCTCCAGTTACATCTCCGCCTCTAGTTTTGCCAACCTCCCAACCACATTCACCATCTAGTCAAATTAGTTCTACGCCTACAACTACATCTAGAACTTCGCAACCTTCACCACTACACTTATCTGCTAATGAAATTTCTCCGTGTGTTGACCTGTCTAAGTGTGACTTGCCGATTGTTCCCTTTGACTATATCCCTTCTCCGTTGCCTTCAACACCAACTCGTTGAATGATTGCTCTATTTAAAACAGGTTCGTTGAAGCCGCGACAACCATTCTTCATGTCTGTTATTACTCTTTCATTTGAAGAACCTACATGTTACACTAAGGCTATTAAGACTATACAATGACACAATGTTATAACTGAGGAGTATAATGCCCTAATACAGAATGGCGCATGGTAGTTTGTGCCTCCTTCTTCATCACAAAATATCATTGGTTGTCGCTAGATATTTAAGATAAAATTGAAGGTTGATGGTTCATTAGAGCGTTACAAGGCACGTCTCGTTGCAAAAGGATATCATCAACGGCCTGGGGTTGATTTTGTGGATACATTTAGTCCAATTGTTCAACCTACTACTATTCAATTTTTACTTTCGTTGGCTGTAACTAACAGTTGGCATATAACACAACTAGACATATCTAATGATTTTCTTCATGGAAACTTGGATGAGCCGGTATATGTCTCAACCTCCTGGTTTTACTGACCCCTCTCGTCCAGATCATGTTTGCCTCCTCAAGCACTCTCTCTATGGTCTCAAACAACCCCCTCGAATGTGGAACAAACAACTCACTGATGCTCTTCTTTCACTTGGGTTCATGGGTTTTACGACTGATACTTCTCTATTTTATATGTCCACTCCAGGTGACAAGCTTTTTTGCTTGATATATGTGGGTGATATTTTAATAATGGGTAATAATCATGTACGTATCAAGGCTTTGGTTTCTCAACTTCAATCTCAGTTTGTTGTCCGAGATTTAGGGACGTTGTCCTATTTTTTGGGTATTACAGCAACTTGGACGAAAGAAGGATTATTTCTATCGCAACACAAGTATGTCACTGAGCTCCTTCGCCGAGCACAAATGGACTCATGCAGTTCTGTTACTACTCCAATTTCCCCTGCTTCTAAGCTTTCCTCTTCTGGTGGAATTCCGTTGAGTGATCCTTCTATGTATCGTAGTATAGTTGGTGCCCTACAATACTTGACATTCACTCGTCCCGACATAACTTACACAGTAAATAAAGCTTCACAAATTATGCACTATCCTATAGACACACATTAGGTGGCAGTGAAGCGTATTTTGCGATACATCAAATCAACATCTGCTCATGGTCTATTTTTATCACGTACCTCGACCACCCTACTTCATGGTTACACAAATTTTGATTGGGGCAGCGATATGGATGATCGAAAGTCTACCACTGGTTTTGCGATATATGTTGGCAACCACTTGATCTCATGGTCTTCACGGAAGCAACATCCTGTCTCCAGATCGAGTACTGAGGCTGAATATAGGGCCCTGGTAGCTGCAACTTCGGAACTCACTTGGGTTGAGTTCATTCTTTGTGAGGTTGGTTGTTGCACCTCTTCTACTTTTATTCTTTGGTGTGATAATCTGAGGGCTATATACTTGAATGTCAATCCCATTTTTCATTCTCGTACAAAGCACATATTACCATTTTTAGCACAAATAACACGTACTGGTAGGTATTATCAATCGACCCAAATTCACCATAGAACATCATGTAATAAACAAAATAAACATGCAACTTGAAGATAAATTAACACCCTACCATTTTTAGCACCACTCTTATCACAAGAAGTATATTTTGGAACCCATACGATCCATCTCAAATCACCCTACCTTTTTCGCTGCCAATTCCACCATTTAGGCCAGCCCATTTATCATGCCAGCTTATAACTTAATCCTTCCCTCACTTACAGATTTTTGAAATATCAGACCGCTACTAACTTTGTTAACCAACCTACAACTATCCTTTAAGTTTTCCTGCCAACAACTCTCTGGCTCTTGACCTATTCTAAGAACCACATGTGAGACTCTTACTAAATTAGTTTGACTCAAATACCCTCTTTTAGATGTGTTCTAAACATTGCACAATAATAATCAATTCTAACGAAAATCATACACCATACCCCCTCGATCATCCACATGATCTATTAACCTCCTGCTTAGCCAAACATACCACATATGATATAATCCCAAGCGTAACATAGTCCATGCTCCCAGCCCTCCCAAAGTTGGTATGCATAACTAAACATAAGTGAAAATAAGTAGCTACATAACAGTAAGAAAGGCAAACATATATACCAACAGTCACGACATAATACAGATTCTCGATCACAAATTTTGGCTTGATCAATACATAAAACATATTCCACATGATAACATAGTGCATATACTCAGTCCTCCATGAAACTTACACACACAAATTACTAGTGTACTAGTTCGGTATCCAAGATACTTGATACATCCAAATTACACCTCCCTAAAGAAGTATAAGCGGTCGTTGTCAAATAAAGAACCTAACTAAGGTTAGGATTATTTCCACGAGGAATATGGTCTAGACTTAGGCTAATTTATGGTTAATTGTACGTTTAGTTTGATTATTTCTGTAAATATAAAGGATTTGTAAACAAAGTAATTGTTGATTGATTTGTTGTAACAAGTAACAAGTAAGCAAAATTCACAGTTTGTACTATCAATATGAGATGAAACTAGGGCATATGTGTTCCCTATAAGTTATTAACGCAGTAATCCTAATAATAGCAACTTTTTCCTAGTGTTTAACATTCAAAGTCGGTAAGTTAAGTATCTCCTAGGTGATTGGTCGTCCAAGTAGAAAATTTCACCATGCAATTTTGCTCGGTCTACGGGTGTATGATTTACTAACCCTTACCCTTAACCCCAGATTAGCCTTTGCGTATTTGGGTCAGGCTATAAGATAGCAGATTATCACACTAAATCTTCGTTGTTTAACCTCTTTCTCATTTATGACTTCCTTGGTCAGGCAAGTAGGAATGAGGCGAGTTCTAATGTTGCGCACCGTTAAAAATATTCAAAACGAAGAAGTTAAAAATACATGCATTAACATTATTTCAAAATTACTTGATTATAGTTTTACTTTGTTAATTATTCATGGTTCCCACAACCCTAGTGTGGATTTAACTATTTATGCTTGAGGATTCACAATTCATATTAGGATTAATAGCATAAATCATGAGCTTACAATAAGAATAGATGTAATCTGGAATATTGAATTGAAGAACAAACACAAATTTGATAAACCAAACTTTAAGAATTAAATTGTAAAAGTGTCTGCAAGATAATTCTCAAAGCCAAGACAAAAGTATCACAAAAGGTCTAACAACCCAAAAATAAAAAATACAACAAATATTTATAGAAAATAAATCCTAAACCAAGTCAAAAAAGGAAACCTAAGGAAATTTGATTTTGGGCAGTGTCACCACGGAAGGCCACCTACGGCTCGTAGGTGCCTTCGTCGTCAGCAGATAGCTAATATTTCAGTGGGTGTCTTCGACAGGCAAGACCTACGACTCGTAGGTCTAAGCACGGCTAGTCTAGTTCAACCGTTCATGAACTGGAACTCATCATCGACGGCTCGTCAGTTGCCTCTGTCGTTCAACACTTACTCCATTTTCCTCAGCACATCACTCACGTTTTCTACCTACGGCTCGTCAATGGAACGAAGACTCATAAATGGGCTAATATGTTACCAAAATTCTTATTGTTTCACATCTTAGTAAATCAACTACTCAAAAATCTATTTCCTGCAAAATAAGATCAAAATACCATCACATCTACTAACAAAATGCCTACAACTCATGCAAAACTTCAAGTTTAATGTATTAAAAATACCGTAAACTCAAGGTACATCAACACCCTTAACTTAAAATCATTGTTTGTCCTCAAGTGACACAATAAACTCTAAATGGAACTTATGTTGAAGCAACACATAAACTCAACCAATCACATGACATAATCTAAACATCACCCTCTTTTTCTTTATTCTCACCACAGTGCAAATATTTTATTCAGACTCAACAAGCTAACTCATGCGGATCAATACATGACATAGACATATCAATAGACACATTCACCTACACAGACAACAATCACCAAGATACTAACTTTTTGACAATGTAACTTCTGCCCTTACTGTAAAGAAATCCATTTTTTCACACAAAATTTGACCTTTTAGTTAGGGACTCAGTATACATTCACACTCATAAGTGAATTTAAATACAGTTTGTGCTCAATACCATAGGCTTGCCCTTATTTTCTATGTTTTGACCATCCAAACTGGTTACTTAGGATCACTATAGGGCTTTCTTAGCTTCTAATGTAGGCTCAGGGTCAGATTTGGTATATTTAGGATATTAAGTGACTTTTCTACCCTCTTTGAGAATTACATTGGCTATTTAACCTCTTTTTTCAACCAATTCTGACATTGTTTTGCTTGTTGCTCTTCTTCTTATGAAGTATTTTAGCGCGTGTGTGACTTTGACTTGACATTCTTGCTTATTTCATTCTTTCTACATCTTCTTATTCAAGTTTTTTTATTCTTTCGTCTCTTTTTAGCTTAGTCACCCCATTCTCTACATCTTAACACTCACGATCCATTCACCTCATCCCCATAGAAATATGGTGTAATTGCCCTCAATGCACAGAAAAATGTAATACATAGGGTGAGACAAATATGTGGTGCATAAGCGTCGAAGACCCATCAAGAAGCGGGTGGGTTCGATAGGCCCGAACCCATTGGATCAGCATGAGAGACGCCCAGTAATGCCCTCAATTATAAGGGGAACACCATCAGTATTGCTCCTCGATGCAGATGCACCCACAACCAATTCCCTTGCTCTACGCTGCCGCAACTCCTCATCTAGCACTGACTGCCACCGCGCTGCCTCAAGTTGTTGCCTCTCCCTCTTTCTGACCCGTCTTTCCTCCTCTTTCGGACTCATTAAAATTAAAAATTTATATTGAACAAATAAGATCCTTTATAAATGATATTAAATTCAATATTTAAGATATATATTGTCTTTTGAAAATATATTAATTAATAAACATATGTTCTTAACTAATATATTATAAAAAATAGTTAATTTATATTTTTCGATTTAGTATATTTTAATTAAATCAATCATAAAAACTAAAAGTACAAGTTTCTATGAACATCATGAAATACATGTGTGACAAAAAGATTAATATTATAACTATAATGTCATAAAATTATAAAACATTTGACAAAAAGATAATCTATCAAGTCTAACTTAAAAAAATATTTTTCAATATAAAATATCGAGTCAATACTTCTAAAACAAATGAAATTGAAAATATAACATAAGTTCTAAATTTAAAACAAAAAATTTAACATAATACTTTTGTATCAAATTTCAACATAACATACATAAATATGATTTAAAAGAAAAGGAAAAAGTAAATCCATAACTTTACTCAACAATGAATTTTACTTTAATCTAAAAATTAGAATTCTGACAAAATTATACTAATGATTTTTTCAGATAATACGAAAAAATATAAAAAATATTTTTAGAAAACATTAGAATAATAATAATAAAATATATATATATTAAAACGAAAAAAAATAAAAGGAAGAAATTAAAAAGTAATCAGCTTGTAATTACACCATGTAATTACCGACCGTTCACAATCTTCCCCTGTGAATTGGAGAGTGTAATTACACTCTGTCAATTACACCAAATTACCTACTAAACAAATAATTACATGGCCAACCAAATAAGACAGAGAATATAATTACACCCAATTACATCAAATTCAATTACCAGAATAACTTTCCAAACAAGCCCTAATAGTCAATCACTATAAATTGAGTGACCATTCAAACATTCAACACCATATTTCGAACTACTCAACAATCATAAGAGTTGATAATAAGTCGAGGTTGTTGGTGCAAAATTCCTGCATACACCATTGTGTATATGATTTGGGTATCTTGGAGTTTGGCCCTCATTGAGCCAAGTGAAACCCTAAATAACAAGCTCAGATTAACATGAAAATACATAAATATTGGATACCACCACCCCCAGACCTCGGATCTTCCTTCGAGATTATACAACTTTGTTTGTACAGATTATATTATTTTCTTCTTAATTAAAGAAAATACATTGTTTTGATTTTGTTGTAATTACGTAGATGGCGTTATGTTATTATAAGTCAATACTACTCATCAACTCCAATGTGTTTCTTTTTTAGCA